CCCCCCCCCCCCACACAGTGGCTGGCAGGATGGGGGGGGCCAATCCCCCCTTGAAGTCCAGGAGCCCTCCCCAAATCACCACATTAGAGCAATGCTCACAGCCCGGAAAAGGGCTGGGGGAGGGAGAACATGCTGCGGGGGAGGGGTGACCAGGAAATGCTGGGCCTTGGCATAGACGCCTCCCTAGGGGACTCCTCTTCCTGGCACAATTTACAGCAGCCAATAGGCAGCTCTTTTGCCAGAGGCTAAATCAGCCTCCAGCTGCCCCCAGGGCCAAGAGAAGCAAAAGGTGGATTTGAGCCCCCCAGGTCAACGCCACCCCGCCCCCGGGGGTCCTGCACTCAGCTGTTAGTCTAGCTTCAGGCAGCTGGCCTTGCACTTTCCAGGAATGCAGGCCTCACCTTTGCAGCACAGGGATGTGGACACACAACTGTGGGTGTGGGTAGGAGAGAGGCATTTTTATTGAAATGGGAAAACAAAGGAACTTACCCAATGAAAGGCCTTGGTGAGGGTACTTGGTAGTCACGGTTACTCAGAGAAATTGCTGCCTTTTATCTTTACTACTTCACCCAAGGCTGACTGTTATTCAGGCACTGAAATGGGAGGATGTAGCTGTTTCTGATGGTACTCAGTCCCCATCGCCCTTCCCTGCCGCTGGGAACCCCACACGAGCATGTCTCCTGACTGCAGCTGAGAGCTGCCTTCACCCCAGCTCCTTAGCCCTCCTCTGGGAAAAGCTACTTGCTGCTTTCATTCCTCTCCTTTCTCTGAGCTGCAGCATTGCAGTCACCGAGAGAGCTCCTCTTTGAATGGAAGCATGGGGGGCGCTTACAGAGTGTGGCAGGCTGGTGCAAGATGGAAGACGCTGCGTTGTGACCTGTGGTCCATACTGCCTTGTCTCATCGAGACGTGTTCTTCATTTGGTTCAGGTCTCCAAAATGTACCTCAGTCACCAATGAAATGTTACAGTCGCGGGTGGTGACAAGTCTCGGAAAATTAGAGAGGAATTTGTTGGGATGGGCTTAAATTGCAGCAAAAGGGAGGAAACTAGGAAAATCTTCCTGACAAGATGGTGAAACACTGGAATCAATTGCCTAGGGAGGGTGTGGAATCTCCATCTCTGGGGATATTTCGGAGCAGGTTGGACAGACACCTGGCAGGGATGATCTAGATGATGTTTGGTCCTGCCGTGAGGCCAGGGGCCTGGACTTGATGCCCTCTCAGGGTCCCTTCTAGTGCTAGTGTCCCATGATTCTATGAATTCAGATCTATCATTCTGTCTGTCTGTCCTGTTTTTAGGATGCATCCCGCACTGGTGTCATCACACACCTATGGAAGCATACAGATAAAGTAACCAGTGTCTCTTTCTCCCATCCGTTCTGCCTGGCTGGCTCACTTGGCTTGTTTCCTTTCATTATGGGCACTCACAGCCAGGCAGAAAAGTGGGGATTCCATTTCACACTGGTGAAATTCACCTGATGGCTCAGTGTGCACTTTTGGAATCTCCAAATGAGTCCTGCTCGGGGGCTGGAAAGGAAAATGGCCGTCAGCACGTACCAGGGTGACATCTGAGTTATCTTTTGCCAAGAGTCCCCCCCGCCCCCCATATACACCAATTCAATGGTCCATCCACGTTTCATTTTTTTAGGTGACAGAGCATTCAGGGCCAAAGTCTGAAGTGGGTCAAGGGATAATGGAAGGACTTCTAGTCTGGGAACCTTGTACTGCAGGTGGAAAGAGTATTACATAACTTCACAACCCCTTCCTCCAGTTAACTCCCAGCTAAGACTCTCCAGGAGATGGAGTCTAAAGAGAGCTTTTCTTGTTGTTCACACTAAAATTTGTGTGTGTGACAGTGTGAATCAGTTTGACAGAACTTCTGATGCAAGCGTTTAATTAACTCCAGATGTCCCCTATGACTTGAATCTCATTATAAAAGACTGAAACATTCTTCACAACCCCTTCCTCCAGTTAACTCCCAGCTAAGACTCTCCAGGAGATGGAGTCTAAAGAGAGCTTTTCTTGTTGTTCACACTAAAATTTGTGTGTGTGACAGTGTGAATCAGTTTGACAGAACTTCTGATGCAAGCGTTTAATTAACTCCAGATGTCCCCTATGACTTGAATCTCATTATAAAAGACTGAAACATTAAAGATTCCTGCTCAGAAACCACTCTTGTCTAGCTCTATGCTCTCCTCCTAACAAAGCGTGTCCAGTGGATTTAATATGACAGACCCAAAGATCTGAGGGTCACCTCATGTACAGGGAGGAAAACCCCTGATAGTTACTGTTCCTCAAGCAAATGCTTTATGCATTGCTCTCTTCAACATGTGGGGAGAGGGCACGCTCATTGGTATAAAGGCCTGTTGAATCCCTTGCTATATTCCATCAGGTTCTGGAACCTCAATGAAAAGCTAAGGGAAGTGACCGAGAACATCAGAACGGCCATATGGGGTCAGACCAACTATCCATGTAGCCAAGTGCCCTGTCTTCCGACAGTGGCCAATGCCCGGTGCCCCACCCAGAGGGAATGAACAGAACAGGGAATCGTTAAGTGATCCATCCCCCATTCCCAGCTTCTGGCAAACAGAGAGTAGAGACTCCATCCCTACCCATCCTGGCTAATAGCCATTAATGGACCTATTCTCTATGAATGTATCTAGTTCTTTTTTGAACCCTGTTAAAGTCCTGGTCTTCAGGCCATCCTCTGGCAGGGAGTTCCACAGCATCTCTGTGCATTGTGTGAAGAAAGATACCTTTTTATTTGTTTTAAACCTGCTACCTATTAATTTCATTTGGTGACCTCTAGTTCTTATGTTACAGGAACAAGTAAATAACTTTTCCTCATTTACTTTCTTACATAACAAGAACATAAGAACGGCCGTACTGGGTCAGACCAAAGGTCCATCTAGCCCAGTAGCCTGTCTGCTGACAGTGGCCAGCACCAGGTGCCCCGGAGGGGGTGGACC